GGGCATTTCTCCCATGCTTTCCTACTGCCTGCATTTTCTTATGTAAGAGTGTCAAGGTAAACTTCAGTGGTAAGTCATGTATCTGCTTATCTATTGCAAAAAGACTGGGTTTCTTTAGAGATTCCTGTAAATCAAATCTTTCATGTCTGTGAGACATTTGAGATAGGAGATCTCAAAGGCAAAGTAGATACGAGTACAATTTTTAGCACCAGTATACCTGAATTAAAAGCTGGTTCTGCCATTTCTTTGTAGAGTAACCTTGGCAAGTTACTTCTAAATATAATAATGAAATATCTACTTTAAACAGTTATTATGAGAAATACAATTGTTAAAATATGTAATGTCCTTGGAATGGCACTATATTTATTTTAACTGCTATGTAAGTGTTCACGTTACTGCTTTTATTCCTTGTTGAGGCTTAATTTAGCTATAATTTTTTTCAAAGAATTTTCTTACCCTAAGATTACTACAGTTAAGTTGAAGTGACATATAGCTGGTTTACTAATGTGTGGAAAGCGAAACAGTTTATGCAGTTTCTTTAGCATAAATTATCTGTGAGAAATATGCTAATACACCTATTAACTCTGTGTTCTAATTATATAATTGTCTTCCATTTAATTTTCAGGAGAATCCTCATTGACACTGGAGAGCCAGCAATTTCAGAATATATCAGCTGTTTAAAACAGGCTCTAACTGAATTTAACACAGCAATCCAGGAAATCATAGTGACTCATTGGCACCAGGATCATACTGGGGGCATAGAAGATATTTGTAAAAGCATCAATAATGGTAAACCAAAAGCATTCAGTGAGCTCATTAGGAAAAACTGTGTTCAGAGAATAAGTTACAGAGCTAAGTAATCCATAAACCTAACATAAACTAAGTATCTTATGTTTAAGTGGTACTTTTAGAAATTTATACAACTGTTGAATACTATCCCCAGTTTTAACAAAGAAGGAAAGGAAAAGTCCTATTTTCTGTTCCAAATCTCCTTTTTCTGTTTTCTTAGTGAGGAAGATCAGTTTTAAGTTACTGTGTATGACAACTACTGCTTCAGACTTATCAGTAATAACTAACATCTGTTAAGCATTTTCTCTGTGCCAGGCACTGCACCAAACACTTCATGCGGATACTGTGAAGTAGAGAAGCTGTTACTATCTGTTTTCTGAACGGATGCTCTCAGGCCTTTCAGAACTTTAAGGCAATTACTAAGACAGACTGAAATTTAGGTGAAATGTCATTATATTGATAGTTCTTTGTCCCTGAAACTTATTTGGTGTTGACCTTTAACCATTTCTCTACTTAATCTCTCATCCCACCATCATATATCTAGATTCATTCATTTAACAAATATTCAAGTGACTTTTATACATTAGGCACTGTTCTTGCCACAAGAGATTAGTAGTGACCAAAACAGACTCTGCTCTCATCTAGCTTTATCCCAGCAAGGAAAATAAATGGCAAATAATTAATATATCAGATGATGATAGATGCAGTGAAGAAAATAAAACTACAAGAAGAGAAAGAAGAGAATAAAGTGGGAAAGAGCTAGGACTATTATATCTAAGGTGGCATACCAGGTACATAAATATACCATAATATACATTATGCTATATAATAACATAATAATTAGCATTACCAATGATGTTTTAATCCATTATCTAGACCTTAACAAATGACTGAGTCTACTCTTGTTAAAAGTGAAAAGCCTGTGGCTCAGTGAGTAGGGCGCCGGCCCTATATACTGAGGGTGGCAGGTTCAAACCCAGCCCTGGACAAACTGCAACAAAAAAAAAATAGCCAGGCATTGTGGCTGGCACCTGTAGTCCCAGCTACTGGGAGGCTGAGGCAAGAAAATCACCTAAGCCCAGGAATTGGAGGTTGCTATGAGCTGTGTGATGCCATGGCACTCTTCCGAGGGCGATAAAGTAAAACTCTGTCTCTACAAAAACAAAATAATAATTATAATTTTATGATGGAGATAGAAGGTAGATAAGTGATTGCCAGAGGCTAGAAGGAAAGAGTGATTGGGATGGGAGTAGGCTTGCCCTGTTCAAAATGCAGCAAGGAGATTAAGTATGTTCATTTAGGCTCGGCGCCTATAGCTCAACCAGCTAAGGCGCCAGCCACGTACGTACACCTAAGGTGGCGAGTTTGAATCCCCAGCCCGGACCCACCAAACAACGACGGCTGCAACCAAAAAATAGCCGGGCGTTGTGGCGGGCGCCTGTGGTCCCAGCTACTTGGGAGGCGGAGGCAGGAGACTCGCT